CATGTTACTGCTTTTCTAATGGTTTTGGTTATTTACGCATTAAAGTAGTGCAATAATTTTTTTTTAATTTTTAAATTTGTTTTTTTTTTTAGCCAACATATATTCGTAAATAAAATTTTTAATGCATATAAAATCAAAAGGGGTAGCGAAGCGCACCGGGTTCAGCTAGTATAGATATATAACTGTACCTCCAAATATTGGGCATTTTGATGGTTTGTGTCGGCTTTTTCAGAATTATTTCAAATTTAGCATTTGATGTTCGAAATATAGGACCACGTCTTCGTATATAATTGTACCTTCGATATTTGCATTCATTGGCTGTTCAAGCCAACATTTTCGTTGTACTCTACCAAAAAAAAAAAAAAAAAATGATATTAAAAGTTCGGCCCTGCCGTACTTATCTGCCTTTTCTCTTCTAGATATTGTAACAATAAGTTGATGAACAATCTACTGCTCATGCAATTATTAAACAGGTGCATGATAAACGTTCTGTGTTTTCAATACTTTTGCTTCACATTAGTTGGCTGTTTCGATTAACAACTAAAATTCGCCTTTATTTTAAATTATCAAAATTTCCGTAATCAGTGCGTTGGAAGTATTATATACGTACTATTAATTATTGATGCTGGGCAATAAGGCTGTAGCGAAAACAAAGAATTCTTATTAATTTCGATTTAAAATGAAAATTATGCAAATTGAAATCAATATTTTTGCATCAGAGTTGTATAATACGGATTATTTCGATTCTCAATTAACTGGTAATACGGTTTCAATAAAGTAAATGTATACATATAAGTATATATGTAAGTATGTACATATGTACACACTATTTTGATATTTATACGTACGACCTGCTGCATAGCGATAGGTGAGCAAAATTACCAGGTAAGCCAGATGTGAGGCATGGTGATATTAAATTCTGCAAATAATTAATTGAGTGCGTGCTTGTGTTTAATTGTGAATCGCGATAGTGAAAATATTGTTGTATCTGTATTCGGTCACCGCTTATTGCGTGGGTGCGCTGAGTGCAATTTGTCGTTGGCTGACCATGAATACGGCGACCACAATGTTGAGGTTATTACCGCCACTACATCAATTCGCCATAATTTTGTTTATTTTACGCAATTAGCTAAACACAACCAAACAAATAATCAGTTACATTTAAAATTGAACAAACCGTTGTACTGAAAGACTGACCTTTGTTATATTTAAACCAACAAGAGGATGAACTTTGATAGTTATAATTTACAATTTGCATAATTGATTTATTTTAATTGATGCAATTAGAAAATATATTATTTAAGTAAATATTTACATTTATTTATTTAATGTGAAGTGGATATTAAAAAAATGTGCGTATGAATAAACTGAGTGAATATAATTGATTTCTAAGTGCGTTAATTTATTTTAAAAAATGACATATATTTATCGTGAAATGTTGTGTTAATAAGAAAGATTTCGGAGTGCCGATTCTAGGTATTTGGATTTTGGATCTATGGTACAATAATTTCCAAGATGGGACATAGCAATCACTTGAGTACAATTTTTTTCTTCTGATTGTCATGTAATCTTAAAACATGTATATAGATTTTTTTTTCAAAATCTGTTGAAATTTAAATTCATATTTGCAGCCTTCGGGGACAATAAATGTTTTCCTTTAGGGATGAGAAAGTATCAACAACTCGATATTGTAGAAAATCCCAGTTCTTAACATTGTAAAGTTTATTGAAATTTTCAGTTCGTTTTTATGGATTTAGTTTTGTCCAAACTTACTTGGTCATTCAGTTGCAACACCTCAAAATATTAGTTTAAGTACTTTTTCCTAATCAGAGTACAATTAGATGTCGATTAATTTACAATCGTTTGCCTCTCCGCCCGACAGTTGAAATTACCGAATTCATACATCACAAGAGTAATTATTTAAATGTATTTCGATAGGCCAAGTTTGAACTATATAAATATGAAATTTATTTTTAATACACCACACTGTGGTCAGGTTATTGTGTTATTTGTTTGTTATATAGAGAAAGAAGGGAGTTAGCATCATAGTTTCTTTGTATGATCTGCACAGAATCAACTTCAGACTGCTGTCATATCTAAGCCACTCGTCCGACATCTGTTAAAATTATTCCAGTGACAGCTCATTATATTGTTTACAAGCGTACAAAAACATTTTGGTGAAAATTTTCCAGAAAAATAGTTATCCGTGATGGAATACAAGCGTGATAGTGTGATTTCATTATATTTGGCTGGAAAACAACAAGTGGCTATCGTTAGAGCACTCCAGCATTTAAATGTGAATAAATCTTTTGTGTCTCGTACCATTGCTCATTACCGTGATATTGGTAGCGTAGCCCATACTCAAGGAAGTGGACGGAAGAAAACAGCAACATCAGCAGAAATTGTTCGAAAAGTAAAGAAGCGACTTGATCGAAACACGCGCCGCAGTGGCTCGTGTGCTGAACATATCGCAATATTCCATTCGCAAATATTAAAAAAAGAGCTCGAGGCAAAGCCATTGAAATTCCAAAAATTGCAAGAACTTACACCGCAACAGAAAGAAAATAGACTCAAAAGAGCTAGAGTTGCTTCCCTTGCCCGAAAGTGGTGAACTGCCGAATTTGGTTTTCTCCCATGAGAAAAAATTCGTTGTCCACCAGTTTGTAAACAAACAAAATGATCGTGTTTACTTACCAAAGAGGTCAGCTGAAAATGTGCACCTTCTGTTGACCAACAGAACTCAAGCGCCGGCAATGGAGATGGTGTGGGTCGCTATAACAGCCGATGGTCGCTCTCCACTCGTATTAATCGACCGTGGCATCAGAATAAATGCCGAATGTTATCGCGAAAATATTCTGGAGGGTGTATTAAAGCCTTGGGCACGCAAACAGACATTGGACATTCCAACTGGACTCCCCATCGCACTCAGCACGCGCCGTCCAAGAATGGTTCCTCGTTTCATTTCCAGCGCACAATGGCCACCAAAATATCAGAATATCAATCCGGTGGACTATTGTGTCCTGAGTATTTTGGAAAGCAAGGGTGGCACTAAAAATACCAAAGTGTCGATCAACTCAAGAGAGCGCTTCGCCGGGATTGGGCCAAAATACCGCAGAGCAACGTTTGAAGGCCATAATTTGTGCCAAAGGTGAACAATTCGAAAAAATCTAAACTTATTCTAAAATTTGATGCTATTTCCGACATTTTTTGCTCTCATTCAATAAAATTAAAAAAATGTAAAAATTATGGTGTTTGACTTTGTTGCTTTGTTTGTTTTTTTTATCTCACCCTTTACGTGCCGAATTCCATTATATATGCACTAATATTACACATGTGGTGCACAACAAAAAGCAAGTCGAAATAAGATATATATGGGGGCTATATTTAAATTTTGATCGATAATCTCCAATTTCAATATGTTCGACCGTGGACCAAACAAATGTTTTTGCAAGTTTAATACCCTGAAGTGTGGTGTAAGGTATAAACACAATTTTATATATGTCCAATTTTTCCACTTTTCTGGAAGAATTTCTCAAAATATTCTTTTGTATGAACTTGTACACATATGTGAACATAATAACACACATACAAAAATTGAGCTTTAAAGATATAGATTTGCTTATATGCTTGGTCTGCTGCAGTAGCGTTTCCGTGCGTCCCTGATAAAGCTGTTCCTCACGACATTCGTTACTTTTGATCAAATATATCACATTTATCAATGGAATTGCTTCAAAATCTGTATTTGGTGCGCGTTATGTTAGAAATTAGTGTAACTGAAATTGGTTTCAACATTTCCACATATTGGTATACCCCAATATATTTGTACCTATGTGATATTTTGACGACTGTTGCCACAGTTTTCGTTATGTGTAGCACATCCTCCAGATACAAATGTCTGTGCATGTCAATGTTTTGGACAACCCCCATATAACTGTACCTCACAATATTCCATGTTTTGATGATTTTAGTCCTATGTCAACCGATTTTTTTTGAAATTTTATTTTATTTTATTTATGCACGTTCCTAATAACTCACAATGTGCTCGCGATGACTTCAATTAACTAAAATCTTCGTTGTTGATATTTACCAGATTGTTTTACTTTATCAATTTAGAAATATAAGACCAACATATTCGTAATACTGTAGTATTGAGCGATTTTATACCCTAATTTATAATGTGTTGGAGGTATTGTAAGCCGATTGGACTAAAAAGAACGTAACACCTCGAAAGATTGGTATTAGACCAACGATCATGCATATCAATCTTCCTATCATGCGATGCGAATCGATCTAGTTAAGTGTGTCTCTCGGTCCGTCGACATATGTTAACTTGTAATTACTAAAGGTACCAACTATGACCGGATCCTCACCATATTTTGCTTAGAGTTAGGAACAGAATAGAAGCTCATTGTTTTTTGGAGATGATCGCAAACTATTAAGGTTATGTAATGAACCAAAATCCTAATATTTCTGAATTCGCACACAATGGGAGATGCTACAAACCTAAAGACAATATATATATATAAAATATAGTGAGGTTTTTAAAAATAGAATCAGTCTGATCCGCTTTATAGCCCCAGCATAATATAATGGGCATATTTATTTTGTTAGTGCGTATCCAACTACTGAAATTATTCACTTTGGCACTGACGATCTGCCTGTAAGTCAGTCACCTATCAATTAAGTTTCTTTTATGAATATATAGATTACCCTGCCGCATATGAATGACATACTTATATATCTCTATGTTATTGTTGAAACTACCTTCGTATATTTATAGAAAAGGTAAAAAAAGCTTTTTAAAGAGAGTTCATATTTTTCTCTGCAAAAAGCTTTTGCATAATTTTCATGAGCAAGAATGCAATTTGAACATTGTGTTCAATTTTAAAATAATACAGTAAATGTACTTACAACAATAGAAATAAAACATTTGCAAAAATTGTAGCATAACATAATTATTGTCTAAAATCAATAAAAACACAATTTATATTATTTTTTAGATATTATTATGTCTTTGTTGTTGACAACGAGAAATGACAGCAGCAACGGGAAAATGTTTCTTCGACAATATGAAGCATAACCGACAGTACCACCGTCAATCCAGTCAGCACGCTAGACAGCTAACGGCAGCAGCAACACCACCACCAACAACTCTCAAACGTTTCTTTTCCTTCTTATTTTCTTAGCCACACAAATAAAGTACAAACTATAAAAAGGCCAAGTTATTTTTGCAGCCGTTCAGTCCAAACGCGGAGTTTTACAAAGTCATTGAGAACCGACCCGAAGCGATCGGGTGCATAGCACAAAGAAACAACTCAAGCCATTCATATATAGCCGCAAACTTAAGTGACTACAACACTCCAAGAGAAGTTCAGCAGTTCCGTTCAAAGTTCAAATAAAAAAATCAAGCGGAGGTGGTTGTGGATACGCGAACCACAAACGGAGTGTACAAAAGGAGTTTTCTTCTTTGTTTAATGGAACAAAAGAACAACAAAAATAATTAATTAATAGCAAAAATTAAAATAACGATTTGAGTGTTAAAAATGCCCGTGGTATGTTGAATTCACAAATAGAAAAAAAAACAAGAATTTTGTAAAAGAAAATATCCAAACTTAATTTAAAAAAGAGAACCTTATTAAAAATCAACAAAAAAAAAACATTTTACTTTAAGCAACGACAGAAACTGGGTAATTGTTTTTTTTTATCTGTGACATTATTCATTCATCTTCTCGCTGAGAGTGCGCACATGGTGACTGTAACGTCGCAACATACCAAAAGGTCAAAGTTAACAACAGTGTCGAATGGAAAACTAAAAATCACTATCTGAAGAGCTTAGATGCCATTAAACTCTCAAACTTTGTTTGTCAATGGATTTTATTACAGCATCTGTGGGAATATTACATAGACTTCAGTTGTTATGTATTCGTTTAATTCCACTTTTTGTTTTACTTCGTTTGAAAAGTGAATTTGCATTTATGTTCGACTACATAACAACGAGAACGTATGTACGCTGTGTTATGTATTGTATGTACTTCTATAACGGCTTATTTAGTAAACGTCATCGGTTACTATGCCACTTGCGATCGTGTCTAATGGAACGGTGTTACACTTATTTACCCAATTTCAGTTAACAACACACCACCAATGAACCAGTGCGGTATGTTAGTTGATTTTCCAGTTGAACGGTTATGCAGTGGCACACCCAGAAAAAATTACAGTATAAATTATTTAAAGTCATAGCCAATAAGTGTTATTCATAGAAATTCACTACTTTTTAGTTCTTTTCGAAAGCTTAATTTTCAGAATTGAGCAAATTGAATTCAAGGTTAGAGAATGATGTTGTAGATGAAGTCTAGCCAGTTCTAACAATCGTATTATGAGTGGTATCCCATTGATATAAGTGCTTTAGCAAATCTTTTATGGATAGCAGACCTTCTTGAAAATGTCTGTTTGTAGCACAAATTAAAATCCCTACTGGGGATTCTTGTCACAAAATGTCTTCCCAGACCCTATATAAATAGAAGATCTAATAGAGTAATTTAAATTAAATAAATCTAGTTAAGGATCTGCCGTCAATATAATACTTGCAACAGGTCTTCTACAGACACAGGTTTTAATACAGATCACCTACAGGGTGAGAAAAATCTACAACAAAGTCAAACGCCATAATTTTTACTTTTTTTTTAAATTTTATTGAATGAAAGCAAAAAATGTCGGAAATAGCATCAAATTTTAGAATGAGTTTAGGTTTGTTCGAATTGGTCACCTTTGGCACGAATTATGCCCTTCAAACTGCCTATGAAACCGTCACATGCTGCCCAAATGTTGCTTTGCGGTATTTTGGCCATTCCCGGTGAAGCGCTTGCTTGAGGTTAGCGACACTTTGGTATTTTTTAGTACCAACCTTGCTTTCCAAAATAATCCAGACACAATAGTTCAACGGATTGGTATCGGGAGATTTTGGTGGCCATTGTGCGCTGGAGATGAAGCGAGGAACCTCATTTTGTAACCATTCTTGGGTGGCGCGTTCTGAGTGCGATGGTGCTGAGTCCTGTTGGAATGTCCAAGGTCTGCGGGCAAAATGTATGCATGCCCAAGGCTTTAATACAACCTACGGAATATTTTCGCGATAATATTCGGCATTTATTCTGATGCCACGGTTTATACGAATTATGGTGTCCAACCGAAGGTGCACATTTTCAGCTGACCTCTTTGGCAAGTAAACACGATCATTTTGTTTGTTTACAAACTGCTGGACAACGAATGTTGTCTCATCGGAGAAAACCAAATTCGGAAGTTCACCATTTTCGGCCAAGCAAAGCGGCGGTAAAAGTTATTGCACTTTTTGGAATTTCAATGCCTTTACCTCGAGCTCATTTTTCAATATTTGCCGAATGGAATATTTCGATATGTTCAGCTCACGAGCCAATTTTCGGCCAATGCAATGCGGGTTACGATCAAGTCGCTTCTTTATTTTCGAACCATTTCTGCTGATTTTGCTGTTTTCTTCCGTCCACTACCAGTATCACGGTAATGAGAGATGGTACGAAACTTAAAAGATTTATTCACATTTAAATGCTGGAGTGCTCTACCGATAGTCACTTGTGGTACGACAGTTTAAAAATGCCTTCGTCAAATTTGGTGGAAATAAAATCAGAGTTGGATATGCCTCCCATAAACATTTTTTAATATAATCAATCTCATGCACTCTATAGCAATGTTATTTGGTATAAAAGAATAAAATGTCTATTTCAAATTTAATGAAAATCGATTCAGCATTGGATATGCTTCCCATATATTAGTTCCCTCTGAAATCATAATATAACTGCTCTAAAGCCAAATGTTGATAGGTGGTATGTTCTACATTGAATAAATTATTTTGTTGAAAGAGCTCTACTAAATATGGATAGTGGTGCAGGGTATCATATAGCCGGTCCGCCCGACTTTTGACTTTCCCTTACTTGTTTTTTTTTTTTCTTAATTTACTGATTCCGAATCCCGAACTCACAACCTTCGGTTTTGTAGTCGGTTGAGCACACTCTGGGCCGACGTTACTCATAACTTGGAAATGACGAACAAAAATTGTTTGCTTTGTAAACAACTGATAGTGCAGAAGGGAATTGGTTTATATTACCTTTAAATTACTAATTTGGCTCATAAAGCTCCCAGGTTTTGCTAGGTTCAAGATTATTTTTGAGCTTGATCTCTCTATGAAGAACTTAAAGGTATTAGCACTTTCTTAATAAGGACTCCTATAGATGAACGTTCTAGATATGGTTTTTAACGATAACCTATCAACACGCCATACATCCGACCAAACGTGCCGCATCGAAATAAAGGGTAAAATCATTGAATACTCTCCATCATTTGGAACGAATTAGAAAATTTTCAAAAAATAAAATCCATTAAAAATTCTGTTAAAATATTTAAAATATCTAATATCGGAAGGTGCCGATATATGGGGGGATATACGATATTGAGGACCTATATAGACAATTACCTTTCAGGGGTTAAAGTGCTCACAAAGAAATCCTCGTGTGTATTTTCAGACAATACCATAGGAAAATATGGCTAAAATCATCAACATATCGAAAATCGGGGGTACCGTTGTATGGGGGATATACGATATCGTTAACCTATATAGAGAATTCACTGTCAGGGGGTAAAGTGCTCACAAAGAACCTCGTGTACAATTTTAAACAATTCTGTTGAAAAATGTAACTAAAATCATCAAAACACCGAATACCGGGGGTACCGTTATATGGGGGCTAACGATATCGTAGACCTATATATACAGATAATACTCTTCCAAGGGATAAAGTACTCACAATGAATTTCAGACAATTCCGTTGAAAAATGTGGGTAAAATCATCAAAATACCGAATATCGGGGGGTAGGTTATATGGGGCTATACGATATCGTGAACCTATATAGATAATTCTCTTCCGAGGTATTCAGTACCCACAAGGTACTCCTTGCGTGGTTTTTCAGACAACTTCGTTGAAAAATGTGGGTGAAATCATCAAAATTCCGAATATCGGGGGGTACCGTTATATGGGGGCAATACGATATCGTGGACCTATATAGATAATTCTCTTCCGATGTATATACTACCCACAAAGCACTCGTTGCGTGGTTTTTCAAACAATTCCTTTGAAAAATGTGGGTGAAATCATCAAAATACCGAATATCGGTGGAAGGTATAAAAAAACTTTGGCATGGCACAAAATGAGAAATTAGCTTCCGATTCTATTCAAACCAATATTTCCATCAAACCAAGATTTGGTGTAAAAATAGGATATAGCGGACCACTCCTTCTGGAACCTTCCCCACAAAGGGCCAATATTTTGAATAACCAAAGAAAAAAGTGGTGCAAAAATGGGATATAGCGCCCATTTATTTATAAGGCCGATTCGGAAAACATTTCTGTTTGAGGTTATTCCCTTTTTGAAATTAAGCATGTTTCAGTAAGGATCCATCCATCATCAGTTTTTTTTTTTTAGTTTTTTTTTGCACGAATTTTGATTAGGAGCTCCGTGAAATGATCCACCGACATTATACATAATACATTAACTTTTTACTTTGAGTGTACGTTCTTGGTAAATATGTGTGAATTATTTAAATAGAGTTATTAGCTTATGCTTGATTTTGTTTTTTGTAACTTACAAAACTTGTAGCCCAAGTTGGTTGCATTAATACAAGTTAGTTAGCCAAACATTTCAACCAAATTGATTCCAATAACCGGCTATTAACAATTACCCCAGTAAACTTTTCGAAAAATGTATTACAAATTAATAAATTTTGCATAATGCTGTGGCAAAATTTAAAATGTGCTCTAAATATCAAAAGGCAATGTTTGGTAATGCCAACAAAATTTTAGGTCTACAAAAATGAAAAAATACTAAATTTTTGTGGTAAAAATAAATAAAGATTTTGTTATTGTTTTGCAGTTTGAAAAATAGTTGAAAAATATTGCACATTGTCATGTGGAACAGAAAAATGATTGCGTACAGAATAGCCAAAGAGTAAGCGTTCGAAAGGTCCATTCAGTGGACCCAGCATCAGTTCGTTCATTCATTTGGCCTAGCAGTGATTGGCCGCGACGTTTTAGTCAGCTAACTTTTGGTCTCCAGGTAGTCCCCGGTCTTGCCGCCAGTGGTATGCACCCAATGGTTTTGCACTCATAGCGCAAACTTGAAGCGTTCCATTGAAGTGAAAGGTCTATTGATGTGAATTTTTAGATTTTGTTTATATGTTATTTCAATTCAAAGCGGCTATTGAAGTAGTTAAGTAAACAGAAAAAAGTTGCAATTTTCCCATGTACTTCGTGCCGGTGTTTAGTAGCAACGAAAAAAAAAAAACAAAGATATCTCTTAACTTGTCCAACAGTAGCTGTAGCAGTGTCAGCACCACGTTGTGGCTTTACAAGAAAATCTTGAACCAAAGGCAAGATTTATGGTTGAATGCTTTTGGCGGCGTGATGATGATTTGGTTGATTCAATTCAATTGATGACCAACGAAAAATGAACATTCAGCTAATTGTTTAATCATC